ACCACAGCTGGAGCGCCATCGGTTGTCAAGCCTACCATTTTCAATATTGGAATTTTCTCAGAAGAAATAATATTATTAAAAGAAGAAATCCAGTTCTGCCCAGTAGTCTGTCCTTTTAGTGGAATAAACTTCAAAAGATCTTCTTTAATCATAAAATCACTAAAAACCATCCTGACGAACGCGGCCATCTGAGAGGTGTCAACGACAATTGTGGATTCATCCAGCTGCAGTGAAAAATAAGCACAGTTATCTTTTCTTAACTGTAAAACTATATCAATGCTCATTGCTTCTACTCGTCTCATCACTGTATTAGCAGAAAGTTGTATAGATTTTATAGCAGACACTATCTCGTCTGTATTTCTAAGGTTGGCAAATAATGAATCTGCAGATTCTGAAGACGCCTGTTTTATCATTTCCCCGTCTTCATAAGGTTTCATCTTTTGTGTACACTCGGTATGATGCTTCAGTTGCAGCCTTACTTTTGTCGATTGTTTTTAAGAACATTGTCTGTTGTGAAATTAACTGATTTTTTTTTCAGTTTTTCCGTTCTAGTTGCAGAACGTAATGGGAATGATTTTTCAAAATTCAAATGTACTGCTTTATAGTGCCTCTCGATATTCCCTTTTTTAGCAACGGAAACAGATGTATTACATAACAAACATACATTTTTACATTTAACTTTTGTAGAGAAATATTGTACTTCCCATTCCGAATGAGAATTCTATGTCTTCATCTTCTTACTACTGCTCATAATCTTTTCAATTGCAGGCCAACTCTAACCCAACCGCTGGATTTCGTCCCCTTCAGTTTTAAATTGAGCGCACTGTCGCCGCGCCTTGTGTATTTATTCCGTTCAAAGTAATCTAAATCGTTCTCGAACAGTTCGCTCAATGCAGTGTTGCTGCTGCTTCTGTTTATTATGAGAATCTACAAAATTTACGGAAGCTTCTATGAGTTTCACACTTTTTTAAAATTTGTTGTGAGCCACCAGAATTGCTTTTGCGAGCTCATATTTTTTCATTACATTAGATTAGAGATTCTCGCCTCAGAATGATTCGCCATTAACATGGGTTTATTAGTTCAACAAACCAACGATAAGCTCATTTATAAATGCTACCAAATATTACACCGTCTGTAGCAGTATATGTTTATTAAAATTCTCATAACAACACTTAAAATAGTATCTGAACTTCATCATGTTTCTAAAACTCTCTACGAGCTTATTTGCATCAGTATTTTTTATGTTACTTAGAATAATGTCGAAATGAAAGAATAAAACTTTTCATCATTATTTTTATGTTACTTAGGATAACGACGAAATGAATAAAATGATACTTTATTTGACATTCATTTTCACTCGAATACCAGGCATTTCATTGATCAGTTTGGAAAATTTTTCATACCATATGGACAAACAACAAGATTAACGAGATATTTAGTCGCTAATGCAGATGAAAACATACTAATTTGCATTTAGAAATTTGACAAAAATCTTGTATCCGCGTGTATTGGATTTAGGAGCATGCATTCTGCTAGTTCTCTTAGATCAATCCTTTTACTTTCCATGCCAACTAGCGAGGACGTATTGTAATCGCGAAAAATGAGATATTATGTCACTATCGGCCGATTTCACAAAAGTGCGTGGATCACAAATTCCACCAATGATAAGGCGAAGTAATGGATCTAATATGGATATGGTCGATTTCTTGTAAACTGTCTGTTAAACTAGAGAATGATTATACGGTTTGTGTAAGGCGGGCCCCTAATTCGCATATTTTATCAAGAAATACGTCATGAATCACTTGGTTTAGTTACAAAAATCTAATTTTTCTACCGTGCGAAAAACTCTATTTTTTAAGCCAGCCCTGTTAACATGGAGCTCTCGCGCCCTCTACTGGGCAGTAGGATGACTCCTTCTAGTCTTATCACCGCCGCGGAGCGGTGTGACTGCATAGTCATTCTATCGTCCAGAACAGTGCACGACTAGTCCCTGGTAACAGTAGCAGGTCTGGCTTGAGCAACAGGGTTTTTCGCACGGTAATCAAGCAATTTGACTGCTTACTCGATTTTTGTTCTGTATTTTATTTATGTCTTTTGTGATTACCGTTCATGTATACGTATATGCGTAATAACGGAGTCATCTACCGAGTTCACACTAAAAACGTACCCTGTATGTGGTGTGAAATACAAAATAACAGTCCCAGTTGATCGCTGGTCCTGGAATCATCCTGCCTCTCGCTAACCAAGCAGTGTAATGCTTGAAATATACCCAGTGCCAAAGAAAATTGAACAACAGGTAAAATAATTTAATTGTAATGAAATTTTGTATACAACTTGAATGCAATATGTACGACAGAGAAGCGCGAGAAGTGTGTATCAACACATGTTAGAAAGAGATCAAAGCCGGTTGAAGATCGAAAGTCATCACCACCTTGGCTGGCAATGGAGACGCACAAGGTTGGGCAATCCTGCCACGTTGCCAATGCGTTACACCAGGAAATTTTCGCACAGGCTGCTACAATAGGTTAGGTTACAGTCAAACTCAAGAAGGAGGATTTCTGTTCGAACAAATAATTTAATATTTTGTTTTAATTTATTTTAGAACTATCTTTTATTTCCACCGATGGTGACAAATTCAACACATCCTGAGATATTCTTACATTTTGCATCAGCGCTGCGGTAGGAAAATGTAACAAATAATGTTACGCAATACAAATTATCATTGCCTGTGTGCACGTAAGTGACACAATTCACAATCCAAAAATGTATACGCTCAAAATGAAACCATTATTTGGGCGTAAGGAATAAACTAACGCATATTTTTAAATTCAAGGAACTGGTGTAACATATTGGCAAAGGGGCAGGTTGCCGCATCAGCGTTGCTTGGCAACCCGGTTTTGAACTTCACCATCCAGGCGGATTCTATCTCTTTCTAACATAGGTAGGTATATGTCTATATTCACTTCTCTCTCGTATACATTGAACTCAAGCCGTCAGACAAATTTCGTTCTCATTGCATAGACATAGAAGTTGTGGTTAAATTTTAAACTGAATACATTTACAGCCTTGGTAGATTTTCGTCCTATCGCCGGGGCATACTTCTGATGCTTGTTAGTCTGTCATTTTGGAAGGCGGTGGAGGCTTAGTATTATAAAATATTCAGGATGAGATCCAAAATAAGGTATCACATCGATACATGCATCTAAGAACATTGTAACTGATATTTGGTCGATTTTTAGTTTTTAGTTGTTTCAGATAGAGCTTACTTAATACTTTCGGCTAGTATAAGAATTTGAACATTTTTCTGTATCAAAGATGAGAAAAATATTCTAAATATCATTGTAACTGTATACTGCCACGGTACACCAGTAAGATCATGGTAACGTTCGATACAATTCCACTACAGCTTACGCAGGATATTGTGAAGTACGTTACGCATATACCACAATCCAGTTGTGTTAAAGTTGCTGTAAGAGCCTTTACAATGTTATTACAGGTACAGTTCATGTATATTTATCATTGTATATGCTCTTACAATTGATAATGACTATGTTTTATTGGAAGAACATTGTAACATACATTACAATGATTATACAGCTAAATGCATGTGTTCGTCACATTGTTTTTGCTTTTTGCATGAATTTTTTCTATTTTTTTTAGAAAATAGCGATAACCAATGACCAATCTTTACTTCCTGTCAGACGAGAGACCTGGAGGTTATCACTGCTTGGGGACGCAACAATCTTGTACAGTTTAATGCTGCCAAAACACAATACTGTACCTTGACAAACAAAAAGCGTCCTAGCGCTGATCCGGTTTCGATGGATGGCCGAGTTCTGCCAAAGAGCCATTCACTTCGGCTAGTCGGAGTCCAGATCACCGAGCACCGGATCTGGCTCGAACACATCTCGTCAATAGCGGCAGCTGCTGGGAAAAAGCTAGGCTTTTTGTTTAGAGCTAAGAAGTACTTTTCTCCGCATGACCTTCTCACTCTATACAAAACCCAGATAAGGCTTAGCTTCGAGTATTGCTCACACGTTTGGGGTGCTGCCGTCCCGACTACATTATTTATGCTCGATGCTGTCCAGAGGAGGGCTGTCCGACTGATCGATGACTCTTCTCTAACAGACGGTCTCGGGACCCTTTCGCACTGACTGGCCGTCGGCGATCTAGCTCTCTTCTACTGCTACGCCAACGGGCTTTGCTCCTCAGAGCTCTCTTCCATGATGCCGCCGCGCGATTTGCCCGCCAGACAGACCCGTCTGACTTCGGCCTCCCATCCTAACTGTGTCGAACTTGGTACATCCAGAACTGGCCGATACGACCGCTCCTTTGTCCTGAGGGTGTCGAGATTGTGGAACAATTCACAAGAGGAAGCATTTCCCAGTTCTACTAACCTTAGGCAGTTCAAAAATTGGATTAATAAAATTTCCTTGGGTGTCCCGGCATTTAGGCTTCTGCCTGCGCGGCTCCTACGGTATAAAGAAAACACAAAAATGTGTACCAAGTTACCATGCATAGTGCTTAAAAGCTTAGTCAAAATTGGTATAAAACTGATATGGCTCTCCTGAAAACTCGACTTTTGTCAGTAACAATGTTCTTGTATGCATGTATCGACATGTCCTCTCATTTTATTTAAAATATTTCGCCCAGTCGGCATTTTGAAATTTCCAACTTTTATTTTAACGTTCATGCGTGAACATCATCAACTAAAATTGAAAATTGTTAACGTGATCCGTTGTAAAAATAAGTGAAAAGTATCGCATATCAGAACATTTGTCCTGTACTATAATGAGAACAATCATCAACCATCGACGGCTTGCGCTTCCCATGCATCGCTGAAGAAACCGCGCATCTTTGATCACCCGGTCGACGTCACAGCTGGTACCACGGAACCACCTTGCGTGGATGCGCTGTCGCTTTACCATCACTTGTTCGGTGGGGCAGGGGCTCCGGGGGCAACTTTCTCGCGCCCCAACTGCCCTTCTCCGTTCTGAAGAAGAACACCGTCTCAGCCTCAGTACCGTTCGGCGATGCGATCCACGGACGTCTTCGTTTTCTTCTGGTGACCACGCGCTCGCGAATCTTCACCGACTCGTTCCTGGTGCGCCCATCGCTTCGCCAGTGATCGTTTCCTTCTTGTGGATATTATGGGAGTTATGTGGACCTTACAAGCCAGTGTGAGTAAAACAATATTTTTCTACTCAAACTTCTAACAATTACGAAGTGAATCCCAAGTACCGATTCAACAAAATTGCTCTAATGGAGAAGAGTCAGGAGGAGCTTGAGTTACCAAACATGCTGCCTTCGTCCATCTAACCAGCTCATCAGCGTGCTATAGGCTTAGTCTATTGAACACCGAACGAAAGCATAGCAACCATCCTCTATCCGAGATCTCATATCTCGGATACAGGATTTTTGCTATGCTTTCGTTCATTATCCCAGAGACCAGGACTAGACCATGCTGATGAGTTGCCAAAAAGCACCAAATTGTTAACCGTGGTGACTGTGGTCGGATAGATGAAAGCAGCATGTCTAGTTATCCCATGGCGAGTAGACCAAATCTATTACACCGCCAGAACCGTCAGCCTCTAGCTGTCACAGTAGCAACTGACCTATCAAAAGCGAACTGAGATCTTTACAGTTCCAACCAACAGTTGCCATACACTCTCGCAGTGGTCGATTCTGGTAAGAGATATCGCTTCTGGTTAAGATTACAATGATCACCTTGCTCTTGGTAGGTCGTTCCACATCCTAAAAACCAGTTGTTAATATGAGAGGTTAAGAGGAAGTAGGAATGGGAGGAAAAACCTTATGGGAAACCTGCGCAATGCGGTCATCGCGATCAAGTACATATACAAATTCCTCCAAACTTCTCCAATAAAACCTGTGTTAAATTGTGCAAAACTACGGATTGATATAACCAACCTTCGCAATGTATACTATCATTGATGTCGTGAAAAGCCTTAAGAATTTGGAAAGGTTCACTGTATCTCATATTTTTATATCAAAAAAAGTAATTTATGTTCTAGCAAGGGATTTTGGACGGTTGTGGATGGTTGGAGATAGTTAATCAATTCATTTTGATGCATGGATTTGAGTGCCATTTTGTCAATTCGGTTGGTCAACTGTATTTGACGCTTGTACATCGTTTGAGAATCGCTGCTAGAACATGGCTAATATCTACTTTACTCTGAGAGCAAACTGGATAACTTGCATGTTTCCATTTTCTCTGTTCTTGAAAACTACAACCGACTAAGAATTATCGTTTTTGAATAATAATAGTAACAATAATAGCATTTTATTGCCCAACAGAAAATCCATTTACAGGGCAAATAATTAGTCTAATCATATTAGCAAATTTCCTTGAAATAATTGTAAAGTCTGGTTTTATTGGTGCAAGTTGTTGAAGGGGGTATTTAAAATATGGACGCAACAATGAATGAGAAAACGCGTTTTTTGGGATTCAATTGACAGGAACGAAAATACTTTTCACATAAGATTTTTCGGTATTTATGAGACCTACAAAATGAGACCACACGTAAAAAGATACGACTAATATCAAACATATTATGGCCGAAAAACGAGGCAAAATGCAGCTTTTGGCACTTGTTGGTAATACGATGATAATTTCACGCAACGACTTGAAATTCTCTAAATATATAATAATAACGTCAACAAAATTGGATTATATTGGTCAAGTCAAGTCTTTTGAGAATTCCTGATTGCTTATCCCAAAACCAGGGTTAGTTCAAAGGACATTCTATAGCAAAATAGTTTATCTTGCAGATATGATTCGCAAACCATTCCGGAAGATAAATGTTATTTTTATGCAAAAAAGGATGGGTTACGTTTTTCCTTCTAAACAAATTCAAACATTTCGTATTTGTGAGTAATTCGACAAATGCGCTACGATATTCGAAAAACATACGTTAGTATACACATTTTAAAACAATGTACATATCACATCATCTTTTGTCGCGAATTACTCGCAAATACGAAATGTTTGAATTTGTTCTGAAGAAAAAACATAACACATCCTTTTTTGCATAAAAATAAAATGTATGCTCCAGATTGGTTTGCGATTCATATCGGCAAGGTAAACTAGTGTATTTTGCTACAAAATGCCCTTTGAACTAACCCTGTATATTGCTTAATAAACTAGAAGTGATGGCCGAAAAACAGGTGTTATGGGATAAACAATTAGAAATTCTCAAAAACTACTTGACCAATCTACTCCAATTTTGTTGTGGTTATTTAGAAGCACGAAACCTACAAATTTGAAGAATTTCAAATATCTGCGGGAAACCATCATCGCATTACCAACAAGTACCAAAACCTGCAGTTTTTCTCGGTTTTCGGCCAGCACTTTTTTGCTATTAGTCGGATCTTTTTACGTGTGGTCCCATTTTGTAGGTCCCATAAATACCTAAATCTTGTATGACGAGTTGTTTTGTTTTCTGACTACACTTTCTATTGAATCCCAAAAAACACGTTTTCTCATTCTTTGTTGTCGAATAAAAAGTTTTCCCACAAAAATTGGTGTACCATTTTATGCGTCCATGAACAACTTGCAGCAATAATACCAGACTTTACAATTCTTTCGCAAGCCAGGGGAATTTTCGTCCAATATGATTAGACTACATATATACAAACAGTATCATAACACCCAAACTAATGCTGAATAATTTGTAGCTAACCTAACTAAAAAAAGTGAATACACATTTCAAGTTATTCATAGTACAATTGGAGATATCACATGCCTGACAAATGTTATTAAAATTGGTACACATAACTCTAACAGGTGATTCCAAAAGTATGTTAATTTCTGCAAGATCGCAAAAGAATACTACATTAAGACGTGAGTTGAGCCTAGGAACAAAGAGATTAATTTTAGGTAGCAATGTAGATGAGTCAACGCCGCCATTAAGGATTTTGTAAAGGAATTATTACCGATGCCTACTTACATCGAGATACTAATGAACGAGTTTCAAATTTACTTAAAAGCATGTGATAATCACAATCACGCTCAGGATAAACAGGGTCAGACTTAAAAGCTAAATTGTACATTTATTATAACATTGGTACTAGGGACTCCACACAACAGACGCATATTCCTGTTTGGAACGAACAGGAACAAAGTATAGTGTTTTAAGCGAAGAAATACTTGATATCGACTTACATTCGTAAGAATGATACCTAAAATTTTCTGGATAATAGATAATAATTTCAGATGTTTTTCTTAATTCTATACTAATTAACATCTCCGTACTCAACAGTGCGTAAGACCATCCGTAAGGCAAACAGCAGAACCTAACGCCAATAAAAAATTGATTCAAGATTTTCCTTTCATCTCTCTGTTATAGTTCAGTCGGACTACCTTCCTCCGAATGTTATCAAACATAGCATAAGAGTATTTCAGGCCAGAATTTGTCTAATCTTTCCAGAAAAAGAAGTTAGAAGTAATCGCTGGATATAAAAAGATAACCGAGCTCCTTCGTAGCGATTGAAGAAGCAGGCGTGACATATTCGTGCCAAATCAAACCTTCGGTCTAACAGGAAGCGTTAACGCAGCAAAAGATATGACCAGCAAACTAGTCTTTCCAATACCTGAGCCAGTCTTCGGTTTACTGCTCCCTTCTCACTCAAGTTACGTTTCTACTGTAGTATACATACCTGGTATCGGGTATGATTTAAAATCCTTGATTAAAATGGATAGTTTAAAATGCCAAATGTACGGGTACCTAGCTAATCTAAAGTTTCCATTTATGAACATAAACAATTAAGCAAATGTAGTTCCTATCTGTCACTTAGTGTTGTTTAATTCACTGAAGCAAAATCAATATCTTAATCAGGAAAGTATATCCAACTTTTTACCTTTTGTCGATATTCCTTTTCACTTATTTTGCTGATTAATTGTCTCTGACTCCGATAAAATAAATGAATTGGCTGTAGAGCAATTAGCGGAAGTTTTATCAAGCTTACCTGTTTATGTCTTTATCTCTTGCATATCCTCATAGAGTAAATAAACTAAGTGACCACCCAGTAATTATTAATTCATTACAGAGATTTGATAGCTATATGTTTGGTTAGGATAGGACAACAGTCCATATCCATATTGTGGTATTGTTCTTACAAAATAAGTAAGTAAGCTATAGTTGTGTTTCTAAGATACAATTCTGATTTGATCATGGTCATTATTGTGGAGAGCTGCCTTATTCTACTCATTATACCTGGAGTGAGAAGACAAGAAAATTTTCAATAGCTTAGCAAGTTTGATAGGAGGAGAATGGTTGGGCTTGTCAGAAGAACGACACCGCTGCCTTAGGGTTTTGGCTCTTCAGGACCATTTCTTATCCACAAGGCCAATTACGGACACATGGTCTAGAGAGCATGAAAAGCCTTTTACAATGCGAATTGTTTAACGCAGGATCAAAAGTTTCAGAGTTATTTCATACGGTCCTCATTTTTTCCTACCTCTTACTCACGAAGTGATCGACTGATTTGGAGTAGAAAACGGCTGAGCTAAGGCCTCTAGTGAAATACCATTGCATTTAGTGATGAATCCAGATTTTGTTTGGTCGTGCAAGGGTGAGAGGATGACGAGATTCTCAAATTTCTAAGGAAACGCAAATGGACAACACTGTTGGAATTATGGTTTATGGGGCTATTGCTTATAGAAGTAGGTTACCTTTAGGTTCATCAAAGGCAACATGACCGCCGTGCGTTACATCCAGGAGGTGAGGTAGCCGCACTTAGTAACCCACACAATCATGTCAATCTGTTGCCTTGGGCCGTAGATCTCCCAATCTTCCACACCTTCAACACGACTGGGACATAATGGTGACTAGACTGATAATGCAAGCCTGGATTCTGTTCCAACAGTCAGCTTGCTATCTTCACTCTTGAAGAGGTCGATTCTGGTAACATATGGTGCTTTGTACTGTCTTATTTCAATAGATCTTATACTCTGGATAGAGGATAGTTGCTCAGCTATCGTTCGTTGTTCTATCGGAGACCAAGCCTAGACCATGCTTTTGCTAAATAGCACGAAACATCTGTCGATGGTTGGATGTCTGCGGTCGGACAAACGAGAGCTATATTAGGTACTAATATTAATCCCTTTACCCCAACCTCCACGGACCCCAGCGGCACTTCGGCACGAGATACAAGCAACCTG